TTGGTGGTTTTCTTTGTTAATTTTATGTATATGATCTTCAATTCTTATTATCTCTGTGGGATTTTTTCCCTCAAGCTCTCCTAGATTTAGTTAAACTGGGGGATATAGCTTATTTATCTACCTAACAGGGAAAACACAAATTTTGATACTTGGCAAAGCACAGGGAACAAGTGAGTGAGAGCCAGTATCCCCGTGTGACCCTCAGACTTACAGGACATTCCACCTGTCTCAGGTGACCCTAAAGGCCACTTGAAGATTTTGATGCCAATTCATGTGTTCAATCGCCAGCAAACTTAATTTATGTCTCATCTAGGGGCACAGTAAACTCAGAAGAAGCTTACTATTATATCCTTAGGCTGCAAGGCATGGCCTTGTACCCACTTGGGGAGAGGCACCTTGCCTTGGCTACTTTTGCTTTGGAGGCGCCTGCTCTTCTAGTCTTACCCTGTGTGGGTCCTGTCCTTATTGGCAGTTACATGAGACCTTTCTGGTTCCTCTTCAGCAATTTTTGCCTCACAGTAATGTGAAGTAATATGGAGGCAAATTGTCTAGCACATGTAAGAATTCGAGATTCGGAGTACAGTGGGCTAGTGAACAGTCAGATTCTCCTAAGTCACAGGCCTGGAGCTTTGTCATGCCTCTTTCTGATGTCCCATAAGTGATACAGGTATTTTCTCTGTGTATTTTTTCCAGCTATGTTTATTTGGTTGTGTATCTCTGGCTTTAGGGAAAAAGTTTTGCTTTGTTTTAATCATTTGAAAGGGTGAATTTACACCATAAATGGCCACATGATACAATGCTTGACATTATAATGAAGGGTTCCAGTGAATGTGGCTATATAATTGTGCAGGAAAGTAAACTAATAAGTAGAATCCTTGCAAAATTGGACCAGTTACTACACAACAGTAGGATGTGTTTTCAGTTATTTGCAGATATGACAGCAATGTTATTCACAAGTATGTATGAAATGTTAGTTTTACTCATTCTTTGTCAAAATAAGGAATAGATTTTATTAGAGCATCTGCATTTCATGGCAAAATTAGCATTCCTTTATGGAGGAAAATTAACCAAAAAGTAAAATATTGAAATACAAATATTCCAGTTACCATTCAAAATACAGTAATTTTAACATTTTGGTATATTACTTTTCATATGTACTTTTCTTAGTAGTATTTTTTCATTTCATGCTTGTGTAAACTTACGTTTTCTGCAGTGCTTTCTAGCACTTAGAGTTTATCATTAAGTTAGAGGCCTGGAGAGTGCAAGTATCTGGTCAATGATAAGCACACGTTTTTGGCTTAACTGTAAGTGCTATCTCGGGTTTTCATTCTTATCCACAATACACAAAAATACATGATATTTTACTCATTCAACAAATGCATAATGCACATCTCCTCTTTCTCTAGAATCTTGACATGTGATGATAAACAACATCACTCGTATTTACTAAGTACTATGCCATATAATGGTGAACAACATCACACATTTTAGGCCTGTGGATTTAGCTTAGTGGTTCCACCACTTGTCTTGCAAGTGCAAGGTCCCAGGTTTGATCCATGGTACCAAAAATGAAGAAATCACACATTTTAATTTCTTTTTTTATTTTTGTTTTTTATTAGTACATGTTTATCATACACACAGTTTACAGTCATCTTGGGGAAGAGGTTTGTATGCATAACGCAGCTTGATTCTTTTTTAATTCCCTCACCTCTGCCTCTCTCCTTCCTCCTCCAAATCTCCTTTTCCCATTACATTTTAATTTCTTTGTGAAACTTACAATCCGGTTTGTGAGGGAAGTATTAATCATGCAATTGTACAAACCATGCTGAACTATAATTATGAATTATGAAGCAGGATATTATCATCCGCTTAGTAGCAGTGGTAGGTACAGGGATGCAGGTGGTAGACTCATTATTTTCCGTACTTTTAATGTGGTGAGACTGTTTCAAAATTAAGTAATTTTAATATTTAAAAATAAGTTAAATATGTGATGAATGCTGTCATGAAAGCATCAAAAGGGTGAATCTTTCCTTTTCTGGAGTGTCAGAAAAGTGCTACCAAGGAAATGAAATGCTGATGGGCCCCATATTTGGAGGAGAGGAAAAGGAGTTAACGGGGTAAAGAAGTGAGTATGTGGTAAAGAAGTGGGCATGTACCCAGGCAAGTGTGCAAGGGGCATTTATGTGCAGGTGGACATATTTGAAACAGCAAGGTAAGGGGAACACAATAAATATGGAAGCCTATGGAATGCCTGTGAATCATGTGAAAGGCCCAGGTGAGCCTGCTGCGGAGAATGTGGTAGAGGAAGTCATAAACACGGCCAGCAGATAAGACAGGTCCCTCGTACTATGCTGTGTGTTCCTAATTCGTGGGCAATAAAGACTTGCCACATATTTCCGCATTGAAGATACAGGTTACAGCTGAAAATACAAGAGAGGAAGGTAATGGGTAGGCAGTGAAAATAGAAAAGAAGAGAGGAGTAGGAGACATTAGGAAGGTGCATCCAAAGGAACCGAACAGGGCATCAGGTGGAAAAAATAATAAAGATGGTGTTTCGGAGACTGATAGTATGGACATAAATACTCGTCAGGAGTAGAAATATCTTTTGGCTGGAATTGGTGGGGATGGAAGAGTTGAGGGAAAATCATACTGGAAGAAGTTTTGACTTACTCAGTTGCATTTGCACCTTCAGTGTGGCTTTCACAAGGGAACACATTTATTGGGTACGTGGTAAATGATGAAGTGGGGAGCATATCAGAAGGGGTTCTCAGGACCTTTGATCTTTTCTGATTTTGTGTTATGACTTGGTTTCATGTTTTCACTGCTGAGCTTGCAAGTTGCAAGTTGAGACACAGATGAGACAAACCTGTGCATCTCTCGGCTTTTTTTTCTTTTAAGGTTGGTTTATGTCTTATTTTAGATTCTGAAGATATTTTTGATTAATTGGTCAATTTATAGAGGCCACCTACTGTAGCCAGAATCCAGAGCTAAATGTTCATATTCAGCCTCCAGCCTTGCACTTGTTAGGTGCCATTTGTCAAATTAGTTCATTGCTCTGTGCCTCACTTCTCTCCTCCCCAAAACTGGCACCCTATTAAGTAGATTGGTGTTGAGGCATCAATGGAACAATCACATAATTTTCTTAGAGTGGTGGCACTTAAGAGAATCACAATGTTAATGATTTGCGAGACAAAAATACCAAGTACTGTGAAGCTACATAAATCAAATCAAATGTTTCAGTTTACCTTTAGTTTTTGAAATTAAATGAGAGCTTTACAACATAACTTCATACATTATTTTCACTCCCTCAACAGAAATGAAGCATGGTCTAGCAGTGTTAGGGAGGCTGTGAACAGGTATGATTCTTCTGACTGCCTCAGAATTGTTTAAAAATAAGTGACATCAGAACAGAAAGGCTTTACAGAAAAACCCTCCACCTCTCAGATTGTTTTCATGCAATCAAGAAAATGCCCCCTATGTTTTTTTACTTTTGCTCTCTTCTTATCCATGCTACCTATTTTCAGAGAAAGGCATACATAAGATCCACCAAAACACAGATAAAAACTCTTTGCAGAATTTCTTTTTCCAGTATCAGTATCAGACCATCTGTGCATAGAAACAGTGATTGGCACTTCTGTTCATTTCTCAGTGGTTAATCAAACATCTAAGGGTGTTGTATTTGGGGCATCTTGGATTTTTTTGCATGTGTGATGTTTGTGTCCACCTGTTTGCACTTCCATGGTTTTTCTTTTGTGTGCAAGTGGCTGAGTTTCCTCCTTCAGCGCATCCCACTGTTTGGACAGCACGATTTCATTTGCTTGCCCCCTTCAGCTGCTGTATAGCAAAGCCGGTTGCCATGGCAAGGATTATGATGCCCCACATCAAAGTTAAGCTTGAGATGAGGATTGCTTTGAAAAATCACATGCAAATATTTATTTTCAAACATACAGCAGGCTTTTCGGGCAGCACTGGATAACCAGGGTGGTTACCTGTTCTGTGAGTCATCAAATGAGAAGTCAGTGACCTGTGTTCTCCCTTTTGGTTATGAGAGAAACTTCCAGTGCTCTCTACTGCACTCCTGTTGATCAAAAGTCAGATTCCATTTGATATCATTTGATGGTTGTCTTTAGTTACACAGCACGTTTGTCCAGTTAATTTGTCTACCTTGCCCAGCTTATGGTCTCAGAGCTGATTTCCTCAGATAGGTATGATTTTAAGCTTCAGTTTCATTTATTTGTTCCTTCGTTGTTTTGGTGCTGTGGATGGAAACCAGGCACTTTGCACCTGCAAAGCGTGTGACCTCACACTGAACCACACCCCCGGCCCTCCTTGTGGCTTTGCTGTTGAGCCTCACCTCAGTGGAGACACTGTTTGTTTTTCCTGTGGATCTGCTGGAAATGCCAGGTCTTCCCTGCGAGCTGGGGGAGGGGCAGGCTCTTTGTCACCCAGGAGGACATTCTGAAAACTGGAAATATTTGAAAGAATGTGTATCAAATATTAGCATACATTTCTAAAGAATGCAAACGTCTCACTTTTTGGGATTACTTGTCCATTTAAGTATTAAAAAAAAAACTCCTTTAAAAAGCCTATGATAAAGTTTCTTAGAACCTTAACACAACTCCTGACCTGCCATCCTGAATAATGAGCTTATATTAATTATAGTTTAATCATTAAATTGACAGCCAGCCTAACTTAGTAATATTAACAATTAATTTAAACGCTTGAGCATTAGTTTCCTAAAAGAGTCTATTTTCCAATTTTAGTATATGAGCTGCTAAAGCGGGCACAAAGAGCCTATTTTCTATAGCTTACTACTGCACTCTCCTTACCTTCTCTGTTTTATATACTCTGCGTCTAACAAACAAGGGAATGTGAGAGATATAGAGCGAAATAAATATGATACTTCCATGAAACGTCCTTTTAGTGCTGAAAAAAGAAAGAGAAAAGAAACTGTACCTTGCTGCATCATGAGGCTCATGACAACTATGATTGCTTTGCAGATCCGCAGCTCAAGGGTATAGTGACCAGGTTATACTGCAGGCAAGACTACTACTTGCAAATGCACCCCGATGGAGCTCTCGATGGAACCAAGGATGACAGCACCAATTCCAGTAAGTGATGCCCCAGCTGCCAGAGGGCACTGCTAGGGGGACCGAAGGTGCCACTGCTTTCATAAGAAGCATTTGCAAATAATCATGCTGGTTTACTCTTGCAGATGTTACGTGCTGAAAAGCCACTTCCAAAGTCACTAAACCACACAGGAGAAAATGCTCCTGCAGAGACGAAACTATAAGTCCATCTCTAAAGTTTTTCATGCACTTGTCAGACGCAGAAAATCACTGTTGCTTTTGATCTCATTATCGGAAAAAACTGAGTCAGTACATTAGTGTATTAGGTTGAAAACTGAATGCGGCTCCTCTGGTTGTATTATTTTATTAGACCTGCAGCTTCTTAATGATACTGTGGAAATTCCAGAGGTATAAGGGTTAATTTGTATCTGATAAAAGAAGTACTTGTAAGTTTTCAAAATAATTTTTTTTGCACTCAAGAAGAGAAACATTATCTTTCTTATATAGGGAAGATCAGGCTGTATACTAATAAACCCTTTTTACTTACATTGTCCAAATTGCTTAACTACTTTACAGAGGTGGATTTGTGATAATTTATTAAAACTCTCCACAGTTTCTGTATTAGTAATGTCTATCTCTCTTTACTATTTCTTCACATTTAAGTTTTCTATGTAGGGTGTGGGTGGTGCCTCTATGTTCCTCCTAACTCAGCTGTGTTTTCTGTCACATTATGTGTTTATATTGCCATCTGATTTCTCCTAATTGAAAAGTAGTCCTAAAATAGAGGAACCTTTTACTACGGAGAGGCAGTGGAAAGCAAAATAGTAAAACTATGTTAGAAATATTTAATCACAGGAAATATTCCTAGGGCATCAGGAGTAGATACGAATACTTCCATCCACTTACCCTTTACTCTTTCACACACAGAGGATAGTTCCATGAAAAGAAGGGAGGATTTGAATATGTATAATCAAATTATAAGCGTTTCATTTTAAATTCTAATAATCAAGTTTCTAGTAGCAGATTCTGAGAGCTGCTAAATATATAAAATGTTTATTTACTTATAAAATGAACTTTTGTGTTTGGCGCTTCATGTTAAAAAAACCATTGTTTCTAAAGACCATGTTACTTTCTCTAGATTTTCCTACTGCTTCAGTTTGTTTTCTCTCCATCTTCTCTTTGTTTCTTTTTTACTTATGTTTTCCTCTTCTTCAACTTTTAATCTTTCTATTTTCCTTTTAATCTGTAAATGTTTCCTAATGTTGATGCATTATTTTTATTGTACTGGGTTTTTTATTACTAAAATAGGAGGGCAAAATTCAAGCACAGAGAAGAAAGAGGAGGCTTTTTATTCATAGGACCAAAGATTGTTTGTTTATTGAGATTGCTTATTGTTATAGGTTATACATTTTTAAATGATGAGCACTTTACTATTTTTGACTGAGAAAAGATACCAATTTTTTTATGATTCAAGCTTGTGTGTATGTGTGTGTGCGCGCTTTCTTTTTTTCTGCTATTTTAAACTCATTTTTCATTCTTTGGCCAAAAGAGATTTCATTTTCCTCGTGTTTTAACAGTGGGGTTAGGAAGTTTGGAAATCTCTAAGCTCTGATGTTCTCAGTGTCCTCTAGCCATCATTGGCCAGAGTCTAATTAGCCAAAGAAATGAGCGTTTCATAACTCAGCTCACTGTAGGAGCCATGATGCTCTGAAAGATGGGAATGACTTTGTCTATATTATGGAAATAGTTTTCAGGAGCAAACTACTCTAACAGTACAAAAATTATACTTCATTTTATTGCTTAGGCAAAATAACTTCCTTCAAACAGAGGTTTTATGTATTTTTCATAGCATTTCTCCTCTTTTTTTCAGAGAGAGGTGAGTAATCCTAAACAAATTGCCTAGCTTTAATGATGAGACTCAGTATTGCACTGAGAAGTATCAAGTAGAACTTGTCTTCAAAGGGCATTCTGCTGCAGAATTAATAAGCAGCACAGTCATTACTAAATTATAAAGCTGCAGGTCTAGACAGTATACACACACATACACGCACAAGTTCAGTGTTGTTATCAGAAGCATATTAGACATTTGAGTGGAGAGCTGAGATATGAAAAGATACTGCACCTTCTGCTCTCTGAATACAAGGGGCTCTCTCCTCCTACCCCGTGTCTGCAGAGGAAGGAGCCAGGATAACTAGGGAACTCTGGGAGGTCCCTTTCCCCCTATGGTGAGGAATAGTCCCAAGGACAGGACAGAATGGTGGTACCTGCAGAAGAGCAAATCAGAACAAAATCACAGTGTCCACTCCCAGGACTTTAATTCCTAAAGATCTGGTGCAGTGCTGCTTTTCTTGAACACGAGTTTGCATTTTATGTACACTTCAACTCTGTTTTGTTACTGATTCAGACATTTGCAAAGAGATGAAGAGGCTAAGATAAAGTGTTTATTATTCAGAAGGCTGTACAGATTGTATAATTATAAAGTTTAATAGAAATTGCCAGAATTAAATCAGATTTGTAGAAGCATGAGAAGTTGCTAATTAACTCCACTTTTGTGTACTGTCACCTTTTAAAATTGAACTTCATCATTTTTAGGGTGAATTTTAAGGTTATTTTTCCTCATTGTTAATTGTGGTAGTCTTCAGAGTCTTAGGAAAATTGTTAGCACAGAAAAGAATCTTTTAGTGCTAAAAGGTTATGCATTGGAAATCTTGACATTTCTATCCTGACAGAGAAATTAGCAAGTTTTTCCCAAGAGGGAAGCAAGTACAAGCTAGTGTACAGCCCTTTTGATTTGAGGTAGGTAGTGATGTAATAACTCACAAGTATGCTTTTTTATGTAAAAGACCTGAACACAAGCCATCCATAAATAGGAAAAATAATGAGAACTAACCTGAAATGCACTCATCTATCACCCTAAGTCATCAAATGATACCATTGAACTTTGGAACTTCAAATCTTTGTGCTCAACACACAAGTCATGACAACACATTTCCCACTAGCTGTGGGATTATTTGGAAAGAGCAGTCTGAGGCAGCCGACTAGTCTACCCTTGTGGAAAAGCTGAGATGTGTTGAGAGGTGGGAAGGCCCCTGACTGGGCCACTGGCTCACTCCTAGGAGGAAGATGGCAGGAAAATGAATGAGGACAGGGGATTGGTGCTATGGGGAAGCTGCCTGGATGCTCAGTGTTGGCTCCCATCTGTCCCAAAAAGATCTTCACACAGGAAGTGACCTCACAGATGGCCCCATCACCATATTCACTTCCGGAGTTGTAGGATGCCTTTACAATTCAACTAAATGTCAGCATCGCTACCAATTTCCATATTTTATTAGGGAGCATTTTTTCCTTTCTCCACTTCATTGTTCCCACCACCAGATTTAATAGCTGCTGGAAGCAGGATAGGACTGTATAGGATTCAATGCTCTAATAATGTCTATGGATGTTAAAACCTTGAAAAACAGTCCCTCTTACTCCACAAATTCTGAGCCTGGTAACTTAATACATGGCAATTGTCATACCACCCCATAGGTTTTAGGATGCTAGCTTTTACCCGGATTGTATGTTAGGCTCATTTGAGAAGCTCTTAAAAATCTTTCTTACACCCTAAACCCAACCTCGGGGATTCAGATTTAATTGATTCCAGGTTGGGCTTGGCCACTTTATTTTATGAACAGAAAGTTTTAATGATCAAGCAGAGTGGAAAATTTCTCTTGCCCATATGGAGACTACTCGCCAGAATAAACAAAGCTTTAGGGATATCTTCATTATTCTTACTGCACTAGGCCTTATGCTATTGTTTTAGAATTACATGAAATTCACAGAGAGTGGAAAAATATAACACTTAACTAATGTACCTGTGGTTTTGACTACAAGAACAAACTCATCCTGGTTAGCTCTGCAGGTCCTTCATATCACAATGGTTTTATGGATTATATTTTATTCAGATAGTCTAAATACTAATGATTTTCATAATGCAAATCCCTATAAACAGTCTTGGGAAAATAATGTATTTTTAAGTATGGATACTTTAGAGTCTCTTCTAGAATTTTTGTTTCTCATGCCATATTATTTTGGCAGGACCATGATATTCCTGCCTTCTAGAAATATAGCATTCTGGCTAATATCAAATATATGGCTTCTACAAATACCATCAGTAGTATATGGATTTTAAAATAATTAGTTTTGAATTAGGTTAAAATAGGTTAGATAGCAGGGATATGATTTTGTTCTTATGTCAAAATTTTGCATGTAAATCAAGAAGTTTTTCCATTGTACCCATCCTTTCTAAATATAAGGAAGATGGTACTGTTCAGGCATTCTAGAACTTGGATAAAGACATCTTGAGATCTTGGGAACAGTAACATAATCATTGCAAGACAGGGTGCAACTTTCTCCAACTTATTAAGAGAAAACATGTCCCTGATGATAAAATAGAAGATAATTTATCGAGCCAGTTTTTAATTACATACTATGTAGACTCAGAATGAAGTCAAAATTGTCCAAATTGCAAGTGATTTTACTTTTGTGAAATATAAGTGAAATCCTAAAGTGAAACTATTTTACTTCAACATTTACTTCAGTGAAATATGAATGCTTTTAATACCTGTCCTGGCCTGGTCCTGTTGCTCATCATTAGATTTGAATTGAGAGGAATACGAGAGGGAGAAGCTAAGTTTGTTGTGAATAATTAGCAATTCTCTTATAAATGTATCTGTAATAAAATCTCCAAAATTATCAAGCAGCCACCACTGCAGATCATGCTATAAAACCCAATAAGTGAACAGGTACCCTGCATGGAAATGCATTATAGGAGTTTTAATCTTTAAAAAATATATTATACCATTGCTATCTGCACTGTGTGAAAAATGTGTAAAAAACACTTTATTAACAAGGGGAGAAACAAAACATGGAAATATGAATGGATTTTTACCTACTAGGTGGGTAAAAACTCTTTCTCTTTTTACTTTAACATGTATTCATAGTTATATAAATGTCAGCAAAGAAAATGGTATCTCTAAAGTTTACGTGCCCTTCACCCTGATTAGTTCTTTCTAAATTTAGCCTGTTGACAGGTGCACATCTTGTCTTGGCCCTGCTTGCATGTCATATTGGTTCTGCGAAAGTAATTTAGTTTTGGAATTACCTTTTGCACTCCTGGCCCACACTGTTGACTGGTGACAAGTCACACCTTCCGTATGAAGGATCAGAATAAACACCAGTCTCTTCGGCTTCAGCTCCCTGAGAATCTTCACAGCTGACTTGTTTGGGAGTGTAGTGGTGTCAGGAGCCTGTGATACTAGAACTGTGAGCACAGGTCTGGCTCTGTTTGTTACCCCAGCCCTTCTTCAGAAGGCGATGGGCGAGATCGCTGAGCAGATTTACAAATAGAGGGGGAAGTGTTAATTTGACACTTAGCATAATCTCCTCTGTTAGGAGGAGAAATAAAAGTTAATTAGGTTGGAACCTCTCAAAAGAGGATAGGATGTTTCTCAGGTAACAGAGATGAGAGAGGAGAAGTCATGGCAGTGCTTGGCTGTTTCCCGCTCAGTCACGATGGACCACATTTCTCTCCACAGCACTGTTCAACCTCATCCCGGTGGGGCTGCGTGTCGTCGCCATCCAGGGTGTGAAGACAGGGCTGTACATAGCCATGAATGGAGAAGGTTACCTCTACCCCTCAGTAAGTAACGTGCCACAGAATGGCCATTCGTTCCATGTCTAGGAAACGGCAGCAACAGTAACACAAATCACCAGGAGCTTCCGTAGGTCCTGACATTTTGCTGTCGTGCTTCATCTATATTTGAATGCAGAGGGAGCTATTTGTTCATTGTTCATCATGTGTGGAAATATGACTTTATCTACAGGAAGACAGTAGTATGTCTTGAATCGTGTGTTTGTTGTGTTTTCAAAAAGGTCCCAGTTCATACAAGACTGATCAATTTTGAATGGTTGATGAAAATATAATATCTTCTATTTCCACTTAGAAATGCACTTATCTTAGAGAATTTCTTGTAAATTTTTATTATTCCCATGCGTTTTCTGTGTATTTACTTTTACTTGACCTCATGTCTGTGAAAAATTACAGGTTACAATATAATGTTTTGATCCATGCATTGTAGAAAAATCCAGTCTAGCTTATTAACATATCTGTCACCGTATCATCGTAGTATTTCTCAGAGAGAATGTTGAAAATTCATTCTTTAAATAACTTTGGAATCTACAGTACGTTATTTATTATTAACTGCAGTCCCCACGCAGCGCAGTGGATCACCAAAACTCACTTCTCCAGTCTAAATGAAAAATTTCACCTTTTCATCGACATATCTTCTTTCCCGCTCCCTCCCACTGCCTCCAAGCCTTGCCTCTTGTAGCCATCTTTACAATCTCTATTTCAGTGATATGTGATACTTTTTTTTTTTTTTTTGATACTGGGGATCAAACTCAGGTCCTTGGGTTTGCAAGGCAGGTGGCGGAACCACTGAGCTAAATCCCTGGTCTGGTATGTAATTTTTAAGATTCCATATATAGCTTTTGATCTCACTTATATAAGGAATATAAAAATATTTGTGTAAATAGACAAATGCGTAAGCCGGGTGTGGTGTTGCATGCCTGTAATCCCAGCACTCGGGAGGCTGAGGCAGGACGATCGCTGTGAGTTCCAGATGAGCCTGGGCTACATAGCGAGTTCCAGGTCAGTCTCAACTACATAGTGAGACCCTGTCTCAAAAAAAAAAAAAAAAAAAAAGAGAGGGAGAGA